CTGCGCTTCTCGTCCGGTGTGCGACCGCCTGAAATACTGTTTTTTTCACCTCCGTGCCCAAATGTCTTTGTTTGGGCTTCCGAAAGCGGATGATGTCAGGAAACAGTGGTTGCAATTTATTTTTTAACTGTCCCTGAGCATTATAACCCCAATTTGCTATTGTGTGCTGCGCATTTTACTGAGGACAGCTTCCACAACATGAGGGAGTACAGTGCCTGCCGGATTCGCCAAAAGCTTTTGTTGAAAGACGGAGCAAGGGGCGTGGCAGTACTGAAACACCGTCTAAGCTGTTCGCCAATCACAACGCACAGGGACAGCTAACCAATCACAACACATTTTGTTTTTCGGAAGGCGGACCTTCATCAAAGCCGGAACTAATCGAGCCGTTTGTGCCAGGCTGGGGAGAAAGGTATTTTAATAATGTAAATTATGTGAAAAATAATGCGTTTTTCGAACCACCAAGCATGAGAGCATGTTCTAGTACACCCCCAAAACAAAATCAAGACTTTGTAAAAGAGCATAATAGGACCCCTTTAAAGACCAGTGAAGACTGCAACCCATTAAAGATGTGAAGCAACAGTTTGGGGGAGGAGAGAGAGCAACATTCACATGCGTGGGACATTTCTAACTTGCTGAAGTCTAAAACAAAATTCACACCAATTAATTGCTGACTATATGCTGTTTGTCTGTTCCTTTAATATAATTACACTCAGAAAACAAAAGTACAAAAGCTGTCACTGGAGCGATACCTTTTCCAATGTGCCATTTAGGTACTAGTATGTATGTAGTATGTAGTATGCTTCACAGCACAAAAGTGTACCTTTTGACAATGTACCGGCCCAGTGACAGCTTTATTACCATTTTTTATTCTATTTGTTTGGAGTGAATATAATAAAAACACAAACAAATGGGATTTCAGAACTTTTCCCACTCCTTTTTAACTGCCGTACTGACTCCTAATGATTCAATTTGGGTCATTTCTGAGTTCAGATCATGTGCAGATATCTGTTGAAATATCTAGAAATTATTTCATTAAAATGGGCCTGTTTTCTCAGACATCTATGTCACATGACATGAAGCCAATTTGATTTAAAAATTAGCATTTCCCTCATTTTCCATATGCGAATAAGGAGATGTGAAATATCACTCATAGCTCAGCTTTGGAAGATCTAAGTTGAAAAGACTTAGATCAAGAATCATAATTGGAAATAAAGTGCAGCAGTTCAGTTGTTATCATATTCCTCTCAGAAACCAAAAGTAAAAATATCAATGCATAAGCAACTTTAAAGCCTTTCAACAAATATGTTTGATGCGGCAGTTCTCTCTGCTATACCTGCTGAAGATCCTTAGGAGGCGCCACCATAATCAGCACTGTAGTTTTCTTTGGGGATACTGCACTCTTTTCTTGTCCGACTGAAACTGCCTGTGTACCTTGTTCCCTCAGGCCTTCCTTTTTTGCAGCATTTTCTAAGTTTTGTTCCTTAAGTCCATCGGGTGGCCCTGCGGTATCACTTTCGCACGCGGTTACTCCCAGAAACCGCTGGAAAAGGGTTGACCAAAGTTCCTTGAGCATCTTTGTGAAGATGCTCCAAGTCTGTTTGTGTACTTGACTCCAAGTTTGTGTACTTGATCAAATCACAACATCCAGCTGTGGTGAGTTTTTGTCTTGGTCTTCTCAAGAATTATCAATTTAAATCTACAGATGTTTTATGTGCATATAGAGAGAAACTGCTCAGGCAGTCATATGTGAGGCCAGGAGGATGAGGGCAGATGAGGACACTGCCACACAATTTCCAAAGCTTCCTGACATATCCGACAGCATTTCCACAGTAACCTGGTGACCATTTCAAAACTTTGAAATGCAGCGAATGACCAGTTCCAATTAACCCGCTCTCATAATCGCCTCAAAATCATTGCAAACTTACAGCATCTTTCCAAAACAAATTCTCCAAGACACTTTCCCAAAACAAAATCGTGCAAAACGATGCAGGAAAAAAAGTCATTCACTCTTCAAGTGACATCACTCCACAACCATGACACACTGCAGCTAAAACACGAAAAACGACTGGAAGAAGCTGAAATCACCACAATTAATCTATTTCTAAAAGCGATCCCACTTTTTAAGTGTTAGTATTTCTAGGCACCTACAAGCTGCTGAAGGTTGGCTGCATCTATAGCCGGCAAAAAGTGATGCAGGGAAAAAAGCTGCAACCTCACTGCAGCTGTGCCTCAGCCAATCAGAGCACTTCACACTGGCTGCCCCTGTCTGACAACACACAGGCAGCCAATCAGAGGATACAATACAGCCATCTTTTGGAGTGAACCCAGCAATGAGAAAATTCTGCTGACTGTTTTTCTGCCCTCTGGTTTTTTAATACTGTCATCATCAGGATCTCCCTGGTAACGCCTCCAGGGTGATTCCATGCATTTCTAACACTGTAATACACAAATCTACCTCATTCGTTCATTCATCTATCAGCTTGTTGTGGTTATATCTTCTTTGCAAATGCATCTGGATATAGGACATTTTTTTACACCCTCCCCAACAATCACTTTCTATAATCAGACTGAACTGCAGCTGCACCTCAATTTATTTCACAGATCAATATGCAGATCTCAGGAACCTACACTTTCTACAAATTACATTGAAATACAAATAGTATGTATGGATTATAACTATGTATGTTTAGGCAATAAAATAAAATGAGGCACAGACTGTCCTCTATGGGCCATTAGAGTAAATCCACAATACGGATTCAAGATATTTATATGAAGATATTTATCTGTATAGCATATTTTTGTTATATTAATAATTATAAATTTATATTGCAAAGTTATATTTATAAGAAGTTATATTGTAATAGAAAGTCATACTGTAGTGTCAAAACATTGGTTCACAAGTAACATCTTCTAAATGCAAACCAGACAAAGCAACATATATTAAAGTACAAAAAGCTATAATATGTTTAATATAATGTTTGAAGGATATAACCCATGTCCTATCAACAAATCATGAATTTACTTTTCATCTTTAAACTTCCTCTAATATGTAGCCTAATATTAGGCTGATGTGCCTCTAAATGTATGCGTCACGGGTCCAAAAAAAAAAAATTTGTCTAATTAATCTAATCTAATTAATATGTGACGACAGAGAGATCTTAAATTATTCACCCAGCCCTCTGAACATGATGAAGGGTCTGGCTGCTTGTTATTACTGCGCTTAATTTAAATTATAAAATAAATAATACATTTATGAGAAAGAGAGAAAGAAAAAACACAAGAGGTGACACGCATGTACAGTACATTTTTAAACAGCACATAAAACCCATTATTTTTCTAAATGGAGAGGATTAGCTACTGATGTTCTAATATTAGCAGGGTTTCTAGCAGACTAACGTAATAAGCCTCTGGCAATGATTTCTGATGTGGGAGGAATTGGATAGCTCTATATGTGGCAGGTTTGACGTCATTCTGCTAGAATTTTAAGCAGTTACTGTGAGAGTCTGTGCAATGAGCTTCATTCACAGTCTGTAACACAATGAAGCCGATTGGTTAAAGGATTACTGTGAACCATCAACCAATGAAGTTAATTAGGTGTTTAAGAGCAAATGTCAGAAGAGTATAATTCTGTCAGGTTAAGTGAAAGCGAGCTAAATTGCACACACTATTGTCAAAAGAAAAGACTGAATTAAAGTGAAAAAGTGTCTATACTGGGCAACAAGAACTGCTCCATGGTCCATTTAGGCATTTAACTGCTTACTGGTCTATTTAGGCATTTAAGATTCATTTAAAAACTCTTATAATTAAAAACCATTCTGCATACGCTCATTCATCCAACCTGTAGCTTCTTATGTAACAAACTATTTTTCAGTTTCTATTTTTGAGTGTTTTTGAATAGAAAGTCTTGGAGCAGGTCCTGTACACCAGACAAGCACTGCATTTGCAAATCAAGCTCAAGTATCCACAAGTGCATTCCACCCTTGATCATTAAAGTGCCAGGAAGTTATTTTTGCCCTTCATAACTGAAGCAGCAGATGTCATTCATCACGGTGAGAGGTTGTGAATTAAGCAGTAAACTCTTTTGACCTTCATAATTAAACATGTAATAACACATTTACTGGTCTATTTAGGCAGTGCCAACTGCCAACAAATCTCAGCTAGTCCACTATAGAGGAACTTTCGGTTTTGTTCAAAGTGCTTTAGTTAGCTGCCAAACAAAGGAATTCTTGCTGCGCAAAACACTGCAGCCAGGCTTTTGTCTAAGACTGCCACTATCCAAAAAAGTGTTTGACTTTAAGACAGGGGACAACGGCCCTCCAGGACCGAGTTTGGTGACCCCTGCCTTAAAACCTAGTAAAAACTTTGTAAAAAAACACACCCAGAGATGAAACTATCAGTAGTGTGGTATGCAGAACATGTCTGTCCTCTTTATAAGCCAATGAGTAAACCATCTCTGAAACCTCCCCTCAGTTTAAGTTCTGAAAGCATTAACATTATGCTACCTGTAAAAGATAAAACCTCTCACCTTCCCCCATCACAGAGAGAGAGATGGGGGAGGGGGATTTGCCGGGTGGTAAATCATAAATGACAGAAGATCTCGTGACTGGCCTACAGAAGCATTCCAGCAAAATTCCAGGGGATCAGTATCCAAGATCTCATTCCCTGATTTGCAGGATGCTCCTTTCCTAGGGATGTATCGATTCACTCAAGTCACGATTCGATTCGATTCGATTCACGTTTTTTTTTTTAACAAAATGAGATTTAAGACAAATTATAAATGAAATGAAAAAGTAAAATCCTTTCATTATTGCTTGGACAAAATGCTGCACATTTCCTTGTGAAATTGAAATATAACACTATAATAATATACTAATATAGCAGTTGCATATTATTGCTCTTTTGTTGGTTTTGATTGCTTCTATTGTCCTCATTTGTTAGTCGCTTTGGATAATAGCGTCTGCTAAATAACACAATTTAAATATAATGTAAATGTTGTAGGATATCAGACCGAATCAGACAATCTAAGATTTGGTCAAAACATGGTTGAAACACGAGGAGCCGAATTCCACAGGGGCCCAAGACACAGGATGTTCGTAAATCAGATCCTAATATATATTTCTCTGATAGCCAGAAAAAAACACACACATACACAATATATAAATTAATACAAAATATGTGTTTTATGATAAATTATATTTATCTGTCTCTGATAGCTGTTGTTCCAGCTAAATAAGGATAACAGCTTTTTTCTGAAATTAAACTCAATTTGGCTCCTTAAATTTATATTTTGGGTGGACAGAAACCCACACACCTGCCCGAACATAGAAAATGCTACAGGAAATGCAATTCCTATCATGCAGTGTAAGCAATGCCAGTGTTCACCCAACAATAGAGTTCTTTTTTTGCCATACGTCTACATCAAACACACTGTAAACAACAGTTATCCTTTCTAGTCAAAATAGCAATCCTCTTCACACAGTGGAGAGAAAGGAAAGGTACAGATGTCCTTTGAGGCACTGTGTTAAGCAAATGTCACTCAAGTCATCTGGTTTAGTGAGTAACCCCCACCCACACAAGAGCTGTGAAAGTAAGGAGCCAATAGCCTAGAAGTACATAACTTTGTTCTGGGGTTTAATAAATAGTGATTTATAAACAAAATGTGTTGCATTAAGTTTTTCATAAGTCTGTCCTCTCTATCAGCGTGATCTGACCTGTAATCACATTATAAAGACCCATTATAGTGAGGTAACTCAATCGTATTGGATAATGTGGAGATAAAGTAAGTTACCATGAGTTCATGTTCAGTGCGATGGACTCCCAGCTTTTTCAGTCCGATGGTCAGATCGTTGACACAGATGCCCCCGTCTCTGTTGACATCCAAGATCTGGAAAAGCACCTTGAGCCGATGCTCCTGCTCGGGTCCGCCGCACACCGGGCAGTGATGCGGGGACTCATCATGGCGGTGCTCGGAGAGTGATGTTGCGGCGGCCAGCGTGGAGCCCATAGTCCGGCCACCACCACCTCCCGGATCCGAGCCCTGATACTCCTCCGAGCGGCACTGGCAGAAAACACCACTGAGCAACGGAGACACGAATGATCCCCGCTCATGCATGTCACTGAACTCCAGACTACTGGTTGGTAAAGCAGTTTAAACTAAAGTCTGTGAGCGTGAGCCAGCCGATCACGCGATCTGAGCGGCGCCTGTTTTCAGTCAAGATGCGTGCCAGATGTGCATTTAGATAGGTTTCCGAATACGTCTACCGAGTTATCTATTATCTTTTGAGCCTCTTTACTTCAGCAATCGGTGTGATATGTTTTGGAGTAAGGTTCAGAACTGATCCCTCATTCACTCGCTATAGCGGCATTCAGAGCTCCGGGTCATAGTGATGAGCTGGAAGGATGTCCCAGCGTTACTCCTCCGGGGTTTCTGTATATCAAAAAAGCGCAGGCAAATCGGCGTATTCCGACATATACATCGCTTTGAATCTCGTTCCGGATATAAATCCTCGAGTTTGTGAATTTCCAATGGTAATCCGGTTTGAATTGGCGGTCTGAATGACAGCTGATGCAACGAGAATGCCGGTAGCGGTAGCGGTAGGGCGGAATCTCGTGTTCGACAGGAAAAGAGTAACTGGACTGAAGTGGGCGGGGCCAACGATGTCAGTGATGGACACATGCAGTTACCAATGACTTTAATCCAAGTTGTCTTTTCGTCACGTCCCGATAATTCTGGTCCTTTCCACTCTATTATAATTCATAAAAATACTAATAATTGTAATTATCGGTAGTAGCAACTTAGCATTATACATTTATGCTTGTATGTGTGCAAGTTCCAGCTTGTGTATCTCAGACAATTAAATGCAGTTAAATTCTACACGTGTACCCTACTATTAAATAAGCCAGTAGGTAGATATTGTCATATCGTTAGTACAGTTAAACCTGTTTGTCCCTCACCGTCCTCCTCACAGTAATCACATTCAAAAAGTTACTTAAGAGAGACACCTGCTGGGGAAATCATAGAGTGCAGTTTTCTGCTCTTCAAATTAGGATTTGATGTTCTTTAAAAGGCACTTAACAGACTAATACAAAAGCAGCCATATCAGCCATATCACCCTGCAGCCCAAGACTGGTTGCCCACTGAAGCAAAGCAGGGTTGAGCCTGGTCAGTACCTGGATGGGAGACCTCCTGGGAAAAACTAGGTTGCTGCTGGAAGAGGTGTTAGTGAGGCCAGCAGGGGGTGCTCACCCTGTGGTCTGTGTGGGTCCTAACGCCCCAGTATAATGATGGGGACACTATACTGTCAAAAAGCACCGTCTTTAGGATGAGATGTTAAACCGAGGTCCTGACTCTCTGTGGTCATTATAAATCCCAGGATGTCCTTCGAAAAAGAGTAGGGGTGTAACCCCGGCATCCTGGCCAAATTTGCCCATTGGCCTCTGATCATCATGGCCTCCTAACAATCCCCATATGTACTGATCGGCTTCATCACTCTGTCTCCTCTCCACCAATAAGCTGGTGTGTGGTGGGCGTTCTGGCGCACTATGGCTGCCGTCGCATCATCCAGGTGGATCCTGCACACTGGTGGTGGATGATTCCCCCCTTTCTATGTAAAGCGCTTTGAGTGCCCAGAAAAGCGCTATATAAATGTAAGGAATTATTATTAAAAGCAAACTGTGATATTACAAGCAGCTTGAAAGTTAACTTCCATGCAAGTTACAGGAATTAAATAATCCCATTGTGGGAAAGGCTGCACATTTGTTGCCTCAGTAGACCTACTGTGTAGAGTAGAAAGGGCAATAATTTAGCGCTGACTCAATGACTTACACAGAGCTTGTCTGTTCCTGTCTACACCAAACTATATACTGTACTAATGAAATGATTAGTCCTGTATCTCCACAGTGAGAATTGCTTGTGTGTCTTCCCTTGTGAACTCATTAAACTGGTGTACTAAATCACATACTTTAATATGTTGGCCATGCAGCAACGAACAATCAATGCAATTGAGCTGAATAACAACAACAAAAAGCTGTCTTGTATTTTTTTTCATTGTTCTGCAATAGCCAAGTTTCCTCTCAGCCTGCAGTGAACTTGCAGGTTGTTATCAAGTTCCTCTCAGCGTCTATGGTGGTGGTTACAGCTCAGCATAAAGATGTTTCAATGGCACATTGAATTGCCCTTCAAAATGTTCATATCACATCTCACCTTTATACACAGAACCTCAAAAATATGGTTACAATTAAAAAAATAATAATAATGATGCGCCTATGAAGGTTTTTTTTTTTTTTTGGTCTTAAGGAACAAATGTCATATGTCTACATTTTGGCCCATTTATTTATAATGCACATTAATGAACATCAGTATAAAAATACAAATGTGAACATGCTGCATTATAACAACATCACAAATTTACATCCCTAGCAGGCAACACAAAGACATCACAACAGTAATGCAAATATAAATATATGACATTATAATTACAAGTACACCATACTCGAAAAAAAACATTGTGCACATAACAAGTTAAAAGTAACCACAAATTTGATTTGCCTTGAGACACTTTTAAAGACACTGGTAAATCTTAAAAATACAAAAAGAATATAATAATAATGTGTTAGTTATGAGTTCACTACTGCTAGAATAGCCGAGTGTCTTAATATTTTTTGAAATTAATCTATTTTTTTAACAAACAACAAATGAAACACAAAACGAGCGAACTACAAAGCGAAAAAAAAAATATATGATTAAGAAGTCTTTAACATTGGTTGAAGTATACTATATTCTACTTCTGGGGCCAGTTGCATACGCTTAACTATTTTTTGGATTCAACTAATTCGACTAATCTACATTTTTATGTAATCGAATTTAAAGTCTTAAAGAAAAAAAAAATAGATGACTAACTTGTAAGACTAGTCTAAAATTTTATGCAACTGGCCCCTCCCTGAACACCATGCATTACATGCATTTCGAATATGCTAGCCAGTCTCTGGCCACGAGATGGCGCTACATGCATTTTAGAACAAATCTCAAGCATCGATCCTTCTGCTTTAACATATAAGCGCGAAATCCTCCTGAATACTCTCTACTTTAGTGATTCTCCTTGACAACACGAGCGTTTGTTTTCTGCCTCCGTTGAAACCGCGGTTGGTACTTATGGTGTTGATGAGTCTCCAAATCTAGTACCATACCCTACATATTAGCAAACCTTAACAACGCGTCTGCGCTCGGAATGTCACGGTTTTTGTCGGAGTTAAAGTCTGAAGTACTGTTGCGTTCTTGTGGATGTAACGGGAGTATCAAACGCTCTCGGTGAACTGCTCGGCTGTATGTAGGGAAATCCACGCGTCCATGGAGGCGGCGCTTACCGGAGTTCACTAGAGAGCTAGACAGTTTCAGTCCAGAGCAGTCAGTCTACCTTTGACTCAACGCTAAACAGTTGATACGATTTACATCTAGTTAGTCATTCTATTGTGGGTCGCTTTCTAATTTGTTCCGTCCAGTGATTTCTGTCCTGGCTGCCATATGAAAACTGTTCATCGACGTAAGTATTCAAATGTCTCTATTCAAATTTTCAGTTACGACATTGGAAATAACAGGCGACTACTTTCGATTATTAGAGAGAAAAGTCAAGATGATGGTCATTTCGCTAGATATTGTCATTAATTCTCAAAAAAAAAACATAATACATGTTTCCTTGGTTATATGTCATTGGAGTACCAGGGATCTTTACACCTGGATATAATAGACTTCTTCAAGCTAAACTAACTCTCCAGGGAATGTTTGCTTTTCAGTAGAGACTGTAGCCTTCTCACTTTGCCGTCCCTTTATTGGTTTTAAGGTAAGTTATGATACACTTTTTATTGTTTACTTGGTATAGTTTCCGTCTGACCCCTGTAAGTGTGATTTTTGTTTTTATTTTATTTAATTGCTTGTTTATTTATTTTTCTCCCCTGACACTCTGTGTTCCTCTGGACATCCTCAGTCTTCTCAGAGATGCTGAACCAAAACACATACATTGAGATTGAGAAGGACTTCCAAGCACCAGATTAAAAAACTGCAACCATCTCTCTGTCTTCATCTACCTCTGCCTTCAAACATCGAAAGTCCAGCCTCGAAAGAGTATGGCGTTTTTAATTAAAAAGAAGAAGTTCAAGTTTCAGATACACTTCACCCTGGAGGAGCTCACGGCTGTGCCGTTTGTGAATGGGATGCTCTTCTGCAAAATCAGACTGTTGGATGGTGGAGACTTTTCCAATTCTTCATCCAGGTAAGATTTGGGATTCTCTCTTGACTGTATTAGGCCATAGTAATCATGATTTTTGCCAAATAAAATAGTTGCTGGGGCAGTAAAGCTGTGGTAACATTTTCTATTAGACTCCACTGTTATAAAAATGCAAATTACTGTAAATTCTGAATTTACACTCATTTCACTAACTGTGGCAACTGGTATTATTTTGGATCAACTGTGAATAAAAAATGGTCTGGTTGTTGATGAATGATGGTAGGCATTGGAAATTTTTCTGTAGAGCTCTAGGATGGGTGGAAAGTCATTATTTGTGTATATTATTATAGATTTTGCTGTTGTCTTTGGCATGGGTTTCATTAAGAGCACTTGTTCAGACCTTCAGTTTTTGCTCAGCCCGGCCTGTAGCACTGAACAATTTTTTGAGCCCATTTAAAATGCACTTAGAAGACCACACAGGTTGCTTTAGGGGTCTCACTCACATCAAAAGTTAAGACATTTTTAAGGGTCAGGGTCAAACCACTGCCATTCTTTAAATTGTTTACCCAGGTAAAGGTTTTGCTCTTTTAATCACTGCACACAGATGGCCTGAATTGCGCAATAATGTTCATTTTCATGATTTCTTTTGTTCGTGACTAATTCTAAACACATTTCTGCACTTGGACTGTGGTTTAAGATATTAGCACACAGATGTCAGCAGTATGGTTGCTTATAAATAGAGGCTTAAGCCCTTAGTAGGTTAGACTCACAGTTGGGCTAGTCTGATCAGTCTCAGGCCAATTAGAAGAATAAAGGTGCATTAGTAAATCTGAGTGAATCAGCAGTCGTATATGTTGACCAGCGGGTTATGATTCCAACATGTGAATTCCAAAATGACTCTTATTGTATGAATCTTGCATCTGATGTTTTCAGTGCAGTGTGTTGTCATTTTTTACTTTATCCTGGACTTTGCAGCCGAGCCATGTGATATAGAATGATGGTCACAATTAGATATAATCTGTTTAATCTGTTTATGTTTTTATTTATTAAAAACTAGTGTTTTTATATATTTTTTCCAATGGTCACACTTTTCTAATATCGATCTTCTGCAAAGCTCTCTCTCTCTTTCTATATATATATATATATATATATATATATATGTACTTTTATTAATCAGGGATACATTCTATTGATCAAAACTGACAATAAAAACATTTCTAATGGTAGAAAAGTTTTCTATTTGAACTTTGAACTTTCTATTAATCACAGAATTTATCACAGTTTCTACAAAAATATTAAGCAACACAACTATTTTCAAATTTGATAATGAAAAGAAATGTTTCTTGAGCAGCAAATCAGCATATTAGAATGGTTTTAAAGGATAATGTAACACTGAAAACTGGACTAATGGCTCCAGAAAATTCAGCTTTGCCATCACAGGGACAAATTACTTTTTAAAATATATTAAAATGGAAAACAGGTATTTGAAAGTGTAATCATATTTCACAATATTGCAGTTAAAATAAATTCAGCCTTTATTTATATAAAATAAAATGACATATTAAAAAAATAAAATATGTATTTTTATATAGTATACATTTTTTTATAATAAAATGTCACCAAATTACAGTGTTTAGTTGATTAGTGGTACAGATCAGATAATCCATCTAGTCAATTTCAACATCGCTGAACTTGAAAAACTAACACAGTTTCCTTCACAGAGAGCACAAGAAAGAGCAACTATAGAGGCCAAAAATGTGCCAGTCTATTTGAAGTTGTGAAGTTGTTTTAGTGGCATATGACTTGGGGGTGGTATATTGTGTGGGCGCATTGAATTGCTAGTGGTGCCAGGCACAGAGAGTGCCCTCGTTCTGGTGCTCCGCATTCATTCTGCACAATGCCCTGTGTATCTGACACGAGGAGGTAGAAGAGGGTTATCTCATAAATGTCCCAACACCACCATTCCTCAGATGGACCGATAGAGAAATTTGATTGCATCGATAGCAGGAACAGTGTGTGTAGTAATTTCAAGGAATAGAAAGTGAAAAAACAAGACAAGAGAAAGATAGGAACTAAAAATGGAATGCGAGATTGATAAGAGGAGTAATGCACGAAGAAGAAAAAGAGGGTGAGAGAGAATGAGAAAAACAGGACAGAGACTTCAGTGATGGTCCAAACAGAGAGCCATTTGTCTGACTAAGCCACGGTACTGTTTCCCTCTGCCCTCCTCCCCTCGCTCATTCTTTTCTCTCTTTCTCTCACGTTTCTTCATCCTTCTGTCCTTTTTATCAGTGTGGATTGAGTTCATGCAGCACTTGATTGACAAGAGTAAGCTCTCCGAGTCATGGCAGACCAAGGATGCCCCATATTATTACTAGAATCAGTAGCATCAGTATCATTAAGATCTTGCATCTTTAAGCTGATCACAGACTCTTTCTGCAGCTTTTCCACGGTTCAGTTTTGCATAAGGTATGGATGAAATTGGATCAACGTGATGATAAAACTTTGTGAGCTGTTTGATGAGGATGTGGACACAGAAGTCATTAGTTTCCAGGGGCTGTCCAGGCTTGCTGAGAGGACAGTGGGCAGTGAAGCTTGAAGGAAGAGAGAGTGCTGCTGATAGGGCTGCTTTTTAATGGTTGGCCTGCGCAGAGGTGGGCGCATGCAGTTATAGGTCCCATTCAGACATTCACAGTCATGATACGTGAAATACATCAACTGATGTAATCTGTTATCACTGCCACTGGCTGGCCATCTTTTTTTTTTTTTGGTGCTTCCCGTTTGCGATTAGCATTCAAACCCTAAAGGATCTTGCTGAAAGATTGTAGACTGAGTTATATATCATTCTTGTCACAGATTTTCCTAAGGTGGATCATTATTGTGGTAGAGGTTATCCAGAAGCAGCGGTTGCTAAGGAAACTGTAGTGTGTGCACACGTGCCCTAGTCTCAGTTTTTGATGAAACTGCTCTGTAATTGTAATCATTACAAGGATGCTCATCTCTCTTCCTTCCTGTTCTGTTCCTCTGCCTTCCACAGACGATAAATACTAAGCAGCCGTGTGCTTTTGATTCACACGGGTTTATTTCTGCACAAGCTTTAAGGCCTAAGCTAAAGAACTATAATGATAACTGTAGCTACAAAGTTTAAGTAATCATTCTAATTCTATGAGAATGGGGAAGTCCGCACCAGACCATTCAGCCAATAATAACCACACCTGTCTGACCAATTAGCGGAAGTTGTCTATTTCCTTAATGGATAATAGATATTGCAAATAAAAAAAAAATTGAGTAAATATTATATAGGATATTGCTAAAATCCTGAAATTAAGCGCTGAACAAAATATGTACTCAAAATTGTATCAAATAAAATATGCATGATTCATTATCCATAAAGGAAATTACACAAATTCTGTCCAATAAAACCCTCTATTTACAAAAGATTTCAAATAAATGATGTTCTTGTGAAGAATCCTGGGGAAAAATCCTAGTTTCTATAAAAATGTTAAACAGCACAATTGTTTTCAACATTGATAATATGAGTTTTTCTTGAACACCAAATCAGCATATCATCTCAGAATGATTTGTGAAGGTTTATGTGACACTGAAGACTGGAGTGGTTGAATTTTCAGTGGCTGCTGCAAATTCAGCTTTAAAAATCTTTTCAAAACTTTTCAATGGTAATATACACATGCTGGATATACAGTATGTAGACATTGACCTTAATGTGTAGATATTGGCATCATTCACTGAAAAAATCTAATCATTGACCACTACATTATAAAGCCGTTTTTGTTTTATATTTAATCGTTTGGTGCTGATTGATGTTCTTAAATGAACAAAGAGAAAGCTGAAGGAAGAAAGAGGATCCAGTTTCTCTCTGCTCAATGTGTGTTATTGGGACCATGTCGGCTTTGACAAATCGAGCAGAACCTCATTCTTGAGATTCCACTGGAAGAGTTACACCCCGGAACAGACACACCTTTATGCTAAAGGACAATGTGAGATTATGAAAATAAATCATTCTCTTTTTCATTGCCTACTACAACCCATTCATGTGATTCACGGCTGTTTGTGTTCGGTATCTTAGCAACAGGGTATCAAACGAAACCTTTGAAAATACAGTACTCACAAACACACATCCACAATGATCGCTACAGCCATGCACATGTTTAATGAGCATGTAAGTTAAGATGAAAGATAGTGAATTATTATTTTGTGGATCATCTTTTATGGTTAAATTAAAACTAGAGCCAATAAACAGAGTATATAGGCTGTAATATGGTTATTATGGTAATGGTATGGTGTTTCTGGCTTTCTCATACACTCAGAGACACATTAATGTCAATTCTATATTTATGTCATATATTATACATCTTATCTGAAACTCCAGATGCAGTCCATTCATACACATAGGGCATAATTGAAATGAGGCTCTTATCTCTCTCCCACAATGCATCACAATTTATGTCTTCGCTCCCTGGGTTTATTACGGTCACAAATGGTGATATTTTTTTTTTCTCACCTGCTTGTCTTATTTCTTTTTTTCACAGACATAAATCAGTCCATAAGATAGGTATCAGGGTGTTTCAGAGTTCAGGAGTTCAATTCTTACTGTTACTCTGACTGTGCACACCATAAGGTTGCTAGTTCAGTTCATGGCATGTGCTGTTGGCTTGCTTACGCAGCAAAAGCGGGCAGAGAGACAAGGGTCTCATCCCATACTGGCCGTCGTGTTTTTGGGCTACAACGGCTCAATGAGATTAGCAGCTGAGTCTCAGCAGTACACCTGCTCTCAGCGTGGACAGACTGAGGCTCCTAAACCGCCTCCTGTAAACACTTCATGAGACGGATTGCTGTGAATCAAACAGATGTAGGTATACAGTTGGGGTGTCTTGCATGTACTGTAAACAACTGGACTTTGCACCGTCTGACCTTCTTTTGACATCAGCTACTGTTTCCCAGTGATCCATTAGTCAATTATTAGTGGTGCTTGCTGTTACACATCCAAACTTTGTCACATGAGTCATCCTTAATCTCATCTGCTT